CCCCCTGAGAAAGTTAAATCCCTGATACTGCAAATAGATCTTAAAGTTTGAACAGTTATGGCTCTTGGGTTTTTTTAAGAGAGAGGGTTGACACCTAGAAAGCTGGTCTGTTGCTTTTCTTAGCCGAACTCCTCAAACTTGTCACTTGATAGTTCTTTCACCTCTTTTTTCCCCCCAATGCTTTGAATATTGTGTATTTTTTAGCAGCTGTTTTGGGTGCTACGTGGTATTTGAGAGTTGGTTTTGAACACATGCTGGCAGCACGAAGCACTGCCCGCCCACATCAGTTCCAGTTACGTGACCATGACAGGGTTTTGATTTAAACAATTTTAAGCAAACTGTACTACTACAGGTGAGGTACTCAGTGCAAGTCCCTGAGGCTTACTCTAAGTTTATGTGCACTCTGTAACTTGAGAGGTTTTTAGCTAGACAATGTAGCTTTTCATTCCCAAGCAGAAGCTTCAGCTTCTGGGAAAGGAGGAGATTGGCACCAGCACCCAATAAAAAGGTTATTGGGTCTTTTATTGCAGACCTTTGGGCTGCCAGCTGTTTCTGTAACATCTGCCTGGGAAGTTCCTTGTGGACAGTACTGGCTTAATAGCTGCTGCAGTAGGGTCTGAACAAGCTTACCCTTTAAGTGGTTAGTGAAAGCCGGCTGATTATTGTCCCCTGTCAGGGTAAATGGACTGTTAAGGAATTAAGACATTCTTGAGAAAGGTACAGACTTGGTGTTGGCATACTGATGTATAAAACCTACGGGGTAGGAACACCTCTCGGCCTCTTAATTGCTGAATTAGCTTGTAGAATATCAAGGAACAGCTTGCCAGCTACTCAGATGGATTTATTCTAAAATGTGACTGATCCATTGCAAAGCACTACAGATTTGCACTGTGCTACTCACTTTTGACTTGTCATAATTAAAGTTTTGTTTCTGGCTGGGAAAGGTGTGCTGCTACCCTCGCATTGCAATTTGAAAATCCTCCCCACAAACATGCCAGTAGGACCTGCTGGTTTTGAATGGTCCTGGGAGGGAAGATGACAGAAGGAAGGGCTGTGAACATGATGGAAGCCGATTAATAAGCATGTGGAAAAGTATTGGTGTTTGCTTACTAATGAGGCGCACAGGGAACCTCCCCAGGCTGCTCCTCTGCCTGCGGGAACTGGCAGGGAGGAGGCTCTGGCAGCACATGGAGATCAGATGGAGCTGCTGAGCGCTGACTGCAGGGAAAGCAGCAGGAGCATCGCCTGCTCTCTGCTGCTGCGGGGTCTGAAGCAAGTTCAAGTGGCTCTAAGAGCTGTGGAGGAGCAAGAGGAGGTAGTGGTGGTGTGATGAAAAGGAGCCGTCTGGTAAACATGAGTGGCCGCCAAGTCAGATGACTTGAGCGGGAGCATGAGAGCAGTCTTGAGGATAGCAGGACACCAGGCTGGCTAAGGAAGGAGATGAGTCAGGCAGGGAAGAACAAGAGCAACTGGTTGAGGAAAAGCAGGATGTGGTTGTGAAACAGGGAGCTGGCTGAAATACTGTTGGGTGACAGGTTCTTATTTGCTCTGGGATGTGGTAACCTTTAGCTTGGATCATGAGGAGGGGACAAAGACAGCAAGGTAGGAATTTTTCATTTGCAAGTTTCACCTTGCTTGAGAATCTAGGCAAAACTGAATATTGTTACAGCTTCAAGAAGGGACCGCCTGTCCTGGGCACCGAGGAGAGTGATAGTTCCCTGCTCAGTAAGGTGTTGATGGCAGGAAACGCTGTTTCTCTTTGATGGATAGCGTGCCAAGAGAACTCAGTCTCATTGCCAGCTATATAAAGGTATCTCCAGTGAAGAGCTAGGAAGAGTACATAGCTTACTAGTGGAAAGTCCCTTGAAGATAGAGCTGCAGAAGTCTCAAGTAGTTGGTACCTTACCTAGGATCAGCTGTGGGATGCAGCAGACAAAGGATTTTAAACCTGTAACTGCTAGATAGCAAAGGGGCACGTGAACATACAGAAATAACTGTTCAAACATTTGCATTTGTTAGAAGTCCAAGAGGTTTCCAGACTGAAGGGTGTCGACATTGAAACCTCATAGTAAAAATAACCACTATTAAATGGTTCTTTATTCTGCAGAGTGGTTGCATTGATTGCTACAAGCAGCTGGCTTTTTCAGGAAAGACAAATATTTTAAAATGGGTAACTGGTTCAGAGATGGATTTGTCTATGTAGGAAGTGTTTAGGTAATGCTTACACACTTAGAATCAACTCGCTGTTTAGAGCATTATCACTTAAGTCTTTGCTGTGGTGAGGAGGCCAGAGCGTGGGGTGAAATGCAGCTACGTCACAAATTATAGTTATACTCTTAAACTGTAGTCAGCTGTAAAGTTTGGGGGCTTAAGTCTCAATAATGAGATGTGGCCTTATTAAAGCTGAAAGATCTACAACATTATTTCTGGAAGATTCTAGAGCTTTGTACCATCCTTGTGGCAAACACATCATCTTAGGTTGGTTTTTATCCTTTTCTTTACTCCAGAGACAGAAAGCCCAAAGCAATTGTCTGTAGGCACTTTAAACTAAAGCCTCAAGAATGGGTGACCCAAAGACTGCCGCACAGAGTCAAGCTGATGTGATTTCAGGGCTGGATCTAGCAAAAGTATGACATGATGTTTACGCAGTGATTTGTGCTGCTCAGTGTTTGGAGCACTTGGGAAAGAAAGACTGTAGGAAACTTCAAAGAAGGAACATTTTGTTTCTTTGTTGTATTCAATGCAATCTAAACTAAGAAGTTGGGTGGTGGGGTTTAATTACTTTTCTGTTCAAATACTTGTTAAATCTTTTGTTTCCATTCTTCCCCTTGGAAAAGGTTTATCTGATACTTCCACAGTACTTTTACTCCAGAAACATCTAAGTGATTCACAAAGGCTAGCAGACAGCATGTTTTGTTATGAAAAGTAATCCTTATTTCCAGTTTAAAGATGGGAGAAACAGGCTTGGTTCTAGACTTGCCCTTAAAGATACGAGTGAATGACCTGCATAAAACAGGACTAACATCGGGAGTTGTATTCCTTTGACTTGACTTTATCCATATTGTAACATAAAATAACTTCTTCCTTATTCTTTGGCTGCCTAACTGCAGCTTAGTTTTACTAATTGAACCCTAGCTGCCCTCTCTCTGCTGGAGAACACTCTCTTTGCAGGAGTGCCAGCACAACATACTTTCCCAAAATATTCTTAATCTGTTTGCCCTGGTGGCGATTTTGGCATGCGTTCTCTCCCACTAACATGAAAATAAGTCTTGCTGCTAAGAACACAGTGGATGGCAGCATGCTGCTTTCTTCTGACAGCAGAGGTGGTTGGTACCTACGAGGTTACAGAGCTGTCAGACAAGTCTGACCTCAGTGCTTTTTTGGAAGAGAACCATGTGTGGTTTCTCTTGGCTTTTCTGTGCAATCCCTCATTGTCCCTCCCTTCACCAGGAAATCCCTTCTCCTGCCAACAGCAGCCAGAGGAATGTGCTGTTTGTTTACCTTCTCGCTCCTTCATCCTACTAACCTTCCCACCCTTCAGTTATAATCCTAACAGGCACAGCTCTTCATCTTTCTGACAGAGCACTACTCAGTTGAGTATTTTCAGATAAAAGGATTGCTGCAAGAAGCTGTTCTGACCAGGCTCTGCTTAGTGGGGTGAGGCCGTGGCTGTCTGTCCTCTTGCCTGTCTTTCTGTGCCCATCAGCAGCTGCTTTGTTCAGTGTTGCATGTCACCACAATGTGCTGCAAGATAGCAGGAAAGGGCACGCTTCCCAAGCTTTTCCCTTTCCAGCATTCCCCTGTGTGATTTTGCCTTTTTGGGGTAATAAGCTAGGAGTCTCTATGTACCGCCCGCTTCTCATGATTTCCCTACTGCATGAACTAAAGGAAAACTTCCAGTTATTCCCTCCCAACAGTATTGATATCCTCTAGCCTGACCTGCTATTGCTATCCCAAACTGCTGAACTCCACTATTCTGTCCCCTTGTAACAGTTCTGGCTCTGAACACACCTTATTTAAAAATAATAAGGCATTTATTATTTTTAAATCTGACATTCTAGGATGAAGATGTTTGTACTGCTTAGAAAAAGACCCCACATGTAGTGTAGTTGTTACGGTTGCTAAGGGTAGAAGTGTGTTTTCTGCACTTGTAGTGTGCTGCCATCCCTCATTAGAGAAGCCCTTAAAGCTCACTGTTTCCACAGGGTTTTATAATAATCCAAGTGAGGAAATCCTGTGTTTACAGCACTTACAAAAATTGCCATTTTGAGACTGTCCCCTCTTTGATCTATTCACATACTTTGTTTTATCTGACTTTAGCTGATTGGCAAGGATTATAAATCCCTTAAGCAGGGACTGCCCTCGCCTTTGTTTTGCAGCGTGGACACTGTCAAGGCTTTCTTGGATAGCTACATCTATAGCTTGAATTTTATGCTGTCCCACTGGAAGACTTTATAATGGGTCTGTGCATGGGGAGGAAGCAGTTTGCGCCCTTAACGCTCCCTAGACACTTTTTGCACTGACACTTCCTTAACATTTCTTTGTAGCACTTAAGAGTTTACCCCTCAGTTGCATTTCTTTTTACCATCGCTCAAGTCTTTGGATAATATGTGTGTAGGGACAGC